CACTGTGAGCTTGGACCAAACTGTTTCCATATCAGGTGTAACTGACAGGTCACGTACACACACACACACACACACACACACACACACACACACACACATGCAGCGACCACTGCTCACTTGGACTTGCGAGGGGTGGGTGGATGGGTGCTTGCGGTGAACAGGCTAGATGGCGAGCAGACGAGTGCACGTACTGACGCGTAAAGGAGAAGGCAGTCGCCACATCATGTGATGATATGGTGGTTGCCACCAGCGGGGATGTTGAGCCGCTTGATTGCAACGAACAACCAGGCTGGAGTTCTCTGTCGACCAGGTGCTGCGGTGGACACTTCAGGGCCATTATAAAACCCGTTTAAGTTGCCCATGGACCATTGCTATAGAGTGATCACTTTCATCTGTTCATTCGGAGTGTCTATGTTGAGCTATTGATGCAGGTAGGAAGAGTGGCGTTGTTACAGAGACTTCAGTGCCCGGAAAGTACCTATGTAGACTCACACTTAAAGATAGTAAAAGCGCTGGAATCAGCCGCGCTGAGGAGACCAGCGGCTAAACAACTTGATCTAGCGAAGTAGCCATCCACAACGGTATTGACAGCATATAGTTGGCGTATTAAGGCACATGCTCTTTACAGTCTGGCTAATTATCAAGACGGAGTCTTCTGTTGGCCTGCAGAACGGTTTATGTCATATCAATGTGTCGAGCCCAACGGCTGCTTTCACCCATTAACGGTAGGGTGAACATACACGATAACGAATAGAACTCAGGGTTGGAAATATTCCGGTGTTGCTCCTCCCAAAACTAGCACATCACGACCGCGGTTTCGTCCTGGTTTGAACTCATCAGGTGGCGATAGCCTGAGCTGGGGTGGAACTCAGAGCCTAGTAGTTCACGGCTGACGCCCTGAACACTACGCTACTGAGATCTGCGAGCAACGCTTGGCACAGCGGAAAGGAATTCAAAGTTGAATTTGGGGAACCCGCTGTTTCGGATACGGTCATCGCGATCGGAATGACCGAGGTTTACCTCAAGGTGAACCGAAGTCTCAATAGAGGTTGCGTGTCGCAACCCAACGACAAAGTGCGTTCCCCAAATTCAACTTTAGAACTCAGGGTTCTTTTCATAGGGAAGCTGCATCGTTATATGGAATGACATGTAGATGTAAAAACTAGCCGGCGCATTGAAGCGTACGAACAAAGGAAGCCAACAAAAAACGAACAATTACGGAACCAATCCGATGTAGCTAAAGAAATGAAAACCGTAAAAACCAATATGGCTAACGAAATGACGCTTTAAAGTCAACACCAATGAATGAGAGTAAAAAGTGTGTGTTTACATTTCCGAATGCTGATGCAAATATACCTGAATTATTATCATTTCTGTAGCAATCAACGTATTCCAAATCGAAGTAGGGACAGTTACCTCTCTCCGGATCTGCTTTCTGAGAATATAACCCACTTCACACGGAAGGAATAGTCGCTATGGAAGCAGGAAGTACCCAGCCTACCCGTCGGCCGGCTCCATTTAGCTCGTTATGTAGTACAAAACCTGGAACTTTCAGCGGTAAACACACCCTATCTGCAATGCAATCCCTGCCCATACTACGTTTAAATTACTTAACAACCGCGGTTCCATTGGTTCATGATGAGACAGCGCCGTGGTGGAATCACATGAGGACGATTCCTGTTCCCCCCATTGGATAACATGAAAGCAAGTAAGGCTGTTGTGAGCATAAAAAGGTATCTTTAAGGTACTCCGTGACATCCTGCATCATGCTGGATCTCAAACATAGCGACCCAAACGACTTATCCTTTGTGTACAGAACAGTTAGAGAGGGTGCCACTTGTTCACACACACACACACACACACACAGAGAGAGAAGGAAATACAGGTGGGGACATCGGTGGAGAGATGCTTAGATCGAACGATAGACGGAAAGATGCACGACTTGGTTCCACGCAGACTCCGCCTAACCCCACGAGGTCAGCTTTTCAGCAAGCTTACTTAAGCAAGTCAATTCTGAACAGCCCGCTTGTTTGCAATACTCATTGGTCCATACTTCATGGCGGGTAAAACCAGTTAACTACTCAATTACCGTTGCATCGCGATTTTGGGCTCTAATTTTCTGGTAACTGAGGTTCATCACAGCCAGCTTCCAAATCACATAGTCGTCCACATGCCCGGAAAAGCACTAGACTGCAGTTTCAGCCTGTTGCGCATCATCAGTAGTGCGCATCCATCGGATCCATCAGGATTCGAACCAATGATCACCAGCGGCTTGCACCGCCAGTCAGCAGTTTATGCCACTGGGCCACGGGGGACAGTTTCGGACCGTCATGATTGTTCGTGGTTCTTTAAACATCCATTCAATCCTCCTGTTCAGCTGCTCGCATCGGTACAAATGCGATCTGCGTTTATCTGCCCCAAGGGCACCTCCACCATTCTCAGTGTGGTTACCTACGAAGGGTACTCAGTTCCCACCTCAACCGGGACAATCGACAGGTCAAGTTTGCTGAAAGCTGCAGTTCCGATTATTCAGAAGAGCAACCATTGAGTTACTAACATACGTAAACCTTGTTCACCGCAAGAAGATAAAAACAGTCTTTTAGACACCTCATCAGCACACACTCCTTGCGCATTCCTCCTAGTTGTTCGAACTGATATGCTTCTAGAGACGATAGCTACTGCTCCGCAACATAGCATACTCGCAGTGCCATGTCGGTACTTCTCAAATGGTTGGAGAACCCATGCAGTGTTCGTTGATAGTTTGAATGAGTCCATGGAGCTTTTGGACTGTTCTCCACCAGCTACTACTGATGTGACCTTGGCGACAAATTGATTACTCCGATATGGAATGGGTAGTCCTTGGATTTTCTTGGCATTATGCTTGTCATATTTCATGCGGTGCCTTTGCTATGTGGATTTCACTAGTCTTCAGGCGTTAATTACCTACTACCAAAGTGTCAGCGGGTCGATTCAATCAAGTTCACAAACGTTAGTGCCGTGGTTTCATCCAGGTGACCTTCCAGAGACAGACTTGCAAATTACCGTAAGTGCTCATTTCTCGACGCAGTTTCAAAGAGGAAGGCATCCTGTCTTTCTATACATGAAAAACTGCTTATCACGACGCAGTACCACCCTATAAACAAGAAGTAGTGGTGCTGTATCCAGTTGCCTAGCAAGAAACAAGTAGTGTATTTCTGAGCAGCCGGAACACTTACTAGCCCAGAAAGGCGGTTGCGGGTACCAAACCGCCCCCGGGGTCCACTGAAAACAAATAGGAGGAAGGAACTGATGAGAAGCTTGGACCGAGTCGATTTGCGTGAAGTAATAAGCACAGTTCAGAGAGGTTTGGAAACAATCGGTTGTTATAGCAGTTTGGTAACGTTTCGCCCTTGACACATGAGCTCCGTCAAACCATGCGAATCAGTGCGCAATTGGAGTGGGATTTTATAGCAAACAGGGGCGATAAGCGCGTTACCCGAAACTTGAGCCAAGGTGTCATTACAGCCACAGTTCGTGATGTCACCTCAGGTGGTTCAATCACAGTGGGAATAGTCCGGGTGTTCCTTTTCGCGTCATGGCATTGACCGATAAGCCCGTAGTGTTGACAGTGGGAGTCGGTTTGCACTTTCCAACCTGATCCCCGTTGTTTGTCAGGCTGGTCGGTTTAAGATCGCTCGCCACGTACTAGCGAGCTCTGCCCCCTCCATTCTATTCACGCAGTCTTCAGGTTTGGTAATTTCCATCGCCTCGGTAATCAACCGCTGAGGTGTTGATCACCTACCCCTCCTAATTACCACTAAGTTCTCCAAGTCTATCTGTTTCCCCCTAGTCTAATGCATGCACAGCCACGGCCGAGTTACTATTGCCTGATATCCAAACGCTTTTCTTGGTGCTCTTGAAATGCATTTGTGCTCTGAAATTAGAGTGCGTAATTCTCTCGCTGTTTGGCCTACGTACACATGTGTGTAGTATTCGGACCCAGATCCATGATACCTGTCTGCGACAGACGTAAGCACTCCACAACAGTCGACGTGATTTTGCTATGAACTATGTGCTGGTGGCTTGGAATGAGTCGCTGGCTAACTGCAGCGAGTTGATTCGAGCTGACAATACGGGAGCCTGACAGTACTACGAGTTTTGGCGCACTTGTGTGGTGTCAGATCCACAGTACAACTACCGAGCCAAGCTTCTAAGTTTGTAGCCATGACCTACTATGAAACCAATCCAACTCGGTCTTCGTGAAGGTTAATAGGAACTAGTGCCAATAGAATGTTACCCAAGCATCGCTGACAAACCTGTGGGGTCTCAACCGTTTTCACAACCTCCAGCACATCGGATACACAGCGGGGCCATTGAATCAGCGAAAAGAGCAGACTACCTCTATAAGATGGGTCCGAACAAGAATGAGAAGCGTCATAGAAGGCAGACGTGGGACAGAGCAACGCCGAAACTCTCTATCTCGGTCGGATACGGTCACAGTGATCAGAATAGCAGAGGTTAACTTTAAAGTCAACCGAGGGCATGATTGAGATAGCGTGTCGCAATCCAAGACACACGGCGGGTACTCCAATACCCTAAATGCAACTTCTAACCGCTGTATCATGCATCGTTCACAGAGCTCAGTGGCCTAGTGAGTATGGTGGAAGCCGCTAATCACTTTGGGTCGTGTTCCACTCCCAGCTTAGGTTATCTCAACCTGGTGAACCCAAACAAGGATGGAACGCATTGTGGAGTGCAGTGTGGGGAGAGAGCAACACCGTTACGCTCCAAGGAAACAACATTGCGCATGAATTCTGGATGTACTCCTTGGTCATCCCCCTCCTTATGTCTTCCTTTGTGCCTTTCACAAACTTTTGAAACAAGCTTTGTTAAGTAGAGGAAGTTCACCTCATAAGTTAACATATTGTTGCTCTCGCTACTCAGTTCCACCTTGCTGTTATTCATGGTAAACCGCTAATAACTAATTGGTTTCTCTTCCCCATCTATCCCCATCCTACCAGGCCTCTCTTTGTCGAAGTTATTCCATGACACTGCGAGGTGCTTCTAATACACCCCCAATCACGACTCCTTCCTTAGCAACTCAAGACATGGAGAATGGACAGCCCCAACTTCGGAGATCTCCCCTCCCCCAATACCCACCAGCTGCTGCGCGCGTCCTCGAACCATTTTATGCCTCCTCGTCGTACCCCATGAACATCCCGTCTTTCAATACTGTCGATTCAACAGCCTACGATTTGTCCTCATCTTCCCGGAGACCCGTGTTCAACCCCGCCAATTACTACAATCAATACTTTTCTCAGTATATTCGTGCAAGTGAACTGAGTCATTTTCCGCATCACTTTGACATGGATTACTCAGATCGCATCTCTTCTTCTAACACAAACCAGTTGCACCAATCTTATGAGTTCAACTATCCGTATCCTCCCTACGGTGGAATGGCTTCAATCCCCGGGAGCACGAACACTTCCTCCCTACACCATCCGGGTCCGTCCACTTTGTCCACCACATCACCGGGTGTCTACCATACGGTGAGCCCGTATCAGCAGCCCTTTCGAGATCAAGCCGGCTACTTTACCAAGCTGAACCGGTGTAATGTTGTCTCACCGACGGTATGCTCTCCCGGCTTGACGAATTGCTTTCCAGATTACGGTGCGTTCCATCTATCTTCATCACCACCGATTCCCTGTCGATCACCATCCGCTAACAGGCCGAGTAAAAGACCACCCCAGTCAATGAGTCGATCGGATCCAATCATATCCCCCGGTCACCATGAACGACTGATGAACGGTGAGCTCTGCGAGCACGATAGGACCACGGTGGCCAGACCACCACACGAGATCGGGACTTCAGAAGACAACGGTATGTATGAAGGTTAAAATGGCTGTTCAACCCACAGTAGTCTAGACAAATAATTGAACAGGAGTTCTGGTTACTGAGCTTCACTATGCGAATCCAGCTAAGAATGTCTGCAATTGTAATTGTTCCTATCATTTGCTTTGCTTAGAATTTGTGGGGTTGAATCCAGGAAATTAGTCATATGGATTTACTCATCCGGAATCCGCTGTTTGGCTGGCTAGAAGCATCGTTAGGTGATTCTATTTGGACATACTGTACCATGTTTGACCACGGTAGCTCGGTAGCTTAGTGGTGGTACAGAGGTGTGTTGAGAAATTTTGTGCACCGGGTGCGATTATCAGTTCGAGAACATGCAGCTAAAGAATGAAAACAAGCGAAACACTAGTCCAATCTATCTGTTCCTATGAGAGAACAGTTAGTTGAGAGGTAACAGATTTATGTACAGCAGCTTTGGGGGAGAGCAGGTTCGAAATCCTCCACTTCGGATGCGGCCCATGTGGTAGAAATGGCGGGAGTATGCCTCAAATCAAACCGTGGCCTCCATTGACATTGCATGTGGCAATTCACACACACAACAGGCATTCAAAGACGCAGTTATAAAAGATTTGCTTATTTGGTAGCTTGGTTTCGAGGGTAGGTTGCACCTAATCTTCACTTGCTTGTATTATTTCCCATTTACATCTAGCTGCTTTGGGTGCTGCCATCAGATTGGCAACAAAGCACCCACAGTCTTCCTGGTGGCTTGCAGACGCGAACCGTTTACACTCGGTGTGCGTACAGACCATTCCAAATGATAAAGATCCTCCACATATTAGGTTGGACAATCTTAAACATCCTCCGTTTTATTGTGATTTCAAAATAACCCAGACCTGTTTTTCCGAACGTGACAAACCGGTCAACTGCTTATCAAAGTGTTCCCCAGGGTAACTATGGAGCGGTACTCGATAACCCGAACACAGTAATTTTACATTTTTAATTTTTCTTTGGTGATTCATGGCATTCGTAGATGGTTTAACATGCTCTTCTGAATCTGAGTCGTATTGTCAACAACTAACACCCCCCAAGGATTTGTGAGCCGAGTCAGCAACTGATACGAAAGTTAGTCCTATGTAAATCGACTAACATGAAGCCAGTTGGGGGAAACGATGAGCAGTTGTAGTAGTATCCAGTTTCAGCTATTCCTCGCTTGTCGCGTATTATAGTAAACACACGACACGCAAAAGGACACAGCTGTAATGTGTGCACACGACCAATATTATCACGTGCGTCACGTGCACCGTCCGGCAGGCGGGCAGGCAGGGGTTCGTGATAACTAGTCACAACACGCATCTTGCACATAAGCAAGTAGTTGGCTAAAATGTATTTCAAGCAGTGAGCAGGATGGCACTGGATTCCCAGATTGTTGAGGCGATCGTGCCATCTCCCATTGTCGTCCGGTTACATAGGGTTACATTTGCCCTTTGAAGTGGCTGGAATCGGTGGGACTGAGCAGTTTAACCATCCCATTTGTATGCGTCACCGACTGTCAGCTTCCTCGATGAATATATGTTGTGTAGCATACTTTACAGGACGCCTCAACAGCCGATTCACCGCGAGTCAGTTGATGGATGAGCAGCCCACCAGGCACCCACGTTTACCCATTAGGGATTGCGTATAGCGTTACGCCGCAATGGGCCATTGCAATAATTCCTGTCTAGTTCCTTGGGGAAACAACCGACTATGGGAAGGTGGCGTCATTTATCCGTTGCTCTGCAGCTATATTTGGTGAAGGTACGAAACTGGTGATGTCGTTTCGAATGCTCTCCTGTGAACTATTTCCCGGCACCAGTGGAAACATTTTCTCACGGGGACCGTTTAGCAAAAAAAGACGATTCGCTTCCTGAGAAAGGGCAGCCGAATTTAATGACACTGAGATCATGTTATACATGTTCCTAGTGTACTCAACTAGAAAATAAAAGACTGAGGATACAGCCATTCATAAAGCGCAGAGGCCGGCGCGCTTCGATCCGCTCTTTTGGTATTAATGGAGTGATGCGTTACTATGCAGTGTAAATTGACTTCTCATGCTGCACACACACAGTGACTGTCAGACGCGCACATATGTCCTCGTCCCGGTTCCATTGACTGACTAACACGTCACAATGCACAGCTGGAATTCGAGGTTCTTTTATTATTCAAACTAAGGATGTCAACTGACACGCTGTGAAATGGCGCGGTCAGTCGGTGCATTCTCTTCAATCGCATACGTGCAATAAACGAAAAATTCAAAAACAAGATCAAGTTTAGTCGATTAGTGCCCGACTGGTGCCCAGTGGTTGTTCAAGCTACCACGGTGGGCTCGATGTTGCCGTCAGCTACTCTGAACAGTGAGCGCTGCCTGCTCTGGATCGGTGAAAATCTCCTCAGGGAGGTTGAGAATGCAAAACCTTTGATTGTGCATGCGGACCGCGAATGATCCACCTGGTCAACATAACCACAGTTTTTTATGAAAAGTCTAGTAATTGATAAGACAAATTTGGTTTTCGCGTCATGCCTTCCATCGCCATGTGTTTCATCAGTTTGTAACATGCAACCTACTATGCCCATCGGGAACCGACTGACTCCATTCAGTGCCCCACTGTTGCTCTCTAGATATTTTTTCGTTACTGAATGATCTTAAATGTGGGCGCTCTTGCTTATGGGCCATCTCACCCTGTTTTCCTTTGTGATTCTCGTTATTTGGCACGAGGATGTGGTGCCATTTGACGAAACCGAGGGTGTATGCACTACCGCTTCTCGCCTGCTAGATATCAAGCGTGGCTCCCATCGTAAGGGCGGATGACTGTGACCTATCCCTAGCTGCCAATACCACTCACCCGAGTAGTCCCCACCCACTAGTGCTTCCGCCACTGACGCACTCATTTATCAAGTTTCGTAGTCCCTTGACAGTCCGCCGTGTGCGTCACGCACCATTGGCGGGAGGGGTGGGTGGGCAGACTGGTAGGCACTCGATCTCATGCCCTTGTGCTGCCACGTCAACTGTCAGGCAGCTCGGCCTAGGTTTATCCCGCCCTGATCTGTGCACAACACAAGTCGGTGGGTGATGAGGAAAACCACCCTTGATGTCGAACGAGCACAAGTTGACCCACAGTCGAAGCTGACAAGTCGGTTGCACGTGCTCGAAATTGATGAAAAAAAGTCGCTCGCAACTCGAGGCATCTCGTCCACATTACCAACGGAACTTGCAACACGCACACCATGTGGGTATGAAATGACACCTCCAAACACACATTCCTTGTTTTTGTTGGGTGCACCAAGTGACGGTCATGTGACTCGGTTCACAACTCTTCAACTGAACACCAAGGAAATCTGTTTCATCATCTCTTTGTATCACTGGACACTACATGAATGAGATTACTGGCAATCCTTCAATAAACGGGTACATTTTGGGCAGAGTTCACATTTGGAGGATTTCGCACTGGTAGCCTGTCCAGATGCATCTCGCAGTGTGTTCACTTGATAGCTTAAGGTTTCAATATCCGCCCACCGTTGTGTGGCCTAGTTGCCATCGATTAAATGGGTAACGTTTGGCTGTCTATGTTTCGAGCAGAACTAAAGGGTGTAGTACAATTTGAATTCGCTTTAGGGGCGTTCGCATATCGACCATCGTTGTGCCAATCTACTTCCATTAGTTAACAAATGGCCTAAAGGGTAGCCTAAAGGGTGATGATAACTAGACTCTAAATTTGACTGACATCGTCTAACTAGCGGTGACTTCCATCCGGATTCGACACTTTTACCAACTACCCTACAGACGTGAAGCGGGTTGCAGGGAATTGAGCGACTCATGGGCATGTACTTTCCTCGGCTGAGTGTCTCAGCTATTCTGTTTGCGATGGAGACTCAGCATCTGGTCTCGTTTCAGTAAGTCTATATGGCCAACGCAATTGTGAGGACGAGATGCTGTCTGAAATATTCACACCGAATCTAAACACGACCATTCGAAAGTTAATAGCAACCACATCCAGTCCATCCAAAGAAAGTCCCGCCTGGAATGCACCAGCCTGTTGCAGGACCGCACAGGCTTTTAATGTGATTAAGCTCGCGTGCTAATTAGTCTTGAAAGCCGTGTACCACTGGTGGTGTGTGAAACACGCGCTTACCGCACCCACAGCCTGGCCAATTGAGGGAACGGTGGGTGCCAGCATAACAATGGCTAGAGCGCAGACCGCAGCCGCCGCAGCAGTGCAGACGGTTAATTCAATTATAGACTTGTGTAGGACTTGTTTCAGCATAGGAAAAGACATTTTGATAATTGATTAGCCACGCTGTCAAGATCGTTCTCCGTCACAGCGTACCACAACTGTGTTTGCGTTTCCCGTTGTCACAGAATCCTGGCTGAGATAAAGGGTAACATTACCGATGAAGCTAATGATGTCGCGGCTGATGCCGCCAGCGCGTCTTCATTACTTTAAAAGCACATAGTGTTTTTCGCATCCTCTAGGCACCTAAGCCCCAAAAGCAGGACCAACAAACTCTGAATGTTTTCCGAGAATCCAGACGGAGCACTCATAGAAGGGTCCAAAGGAGGCTTTTCATACACACTGAGGAGCTGTATGGAGGATCGAGTGGTTTAACTGCAGCTCATTTAAATCAGACAGTCAGTAGATGCGCGGAGAAAAAACTATATGACGTTGTTGCCTTCTCGAGATCCGTAAGCATGGTTCACCCCAAGTACCAATAAACCACGAAACGGCTAACACTGCCCACATGTGGAAAGAGTTCTAATCTTTGAACCTGGTATAATTAAATGTGATCATTTCCGGCACAGCATGACAAGTGATCCTATACTATCAATTTTTGTCCATATGACGTTGTTTGGATGACAAAATTGGTACTACCATGGTTCGTCGAAATTAGGCCTCATCAGATGGTCACTGAACGCCTGAAAAATTGCTGCGTGCTATTTCTGTTCCACTCAGTGTTCCCAGTACCGCCGTATTGCGGTTTGTCTCCAAAATTCC